ATTGGTTCTTTTGCTTTTAAGGTACTCATTATGCACAGAGCATTTTTATATAGATAGATAGATAGATAGATAGATAGATAGATAGATAGATAGGATGGCAAGGAGATCTTGAAGTGATATGGTTCTAATAAAAATATACCCCCAAAAGAATTAAATATTCATAATTTTACCTAACTAGACATGTTTAGTATTTAGGGAGCAACAATGCACTCACAAAGAGAAGACAAAAGTGCTCTCAATTTTCTATTATGTCATACAAAGTATGATGGAATGCGCACACAAACTGAAAACAAGGGCCATAAGCGTTATTCCCAAGACCACAGGGGAGCATAAAGCAAAGACTCGGCTTCCTCCACTTATGGCATGACATCAGCACCAATGCGAGTGCCTGCAAAAGTGGGAGGAAAAGGTTCCCCACTCCTTTAGAAAACTGAGCTGAGAAAAGCAAGCGACAACAGATGGCTATTTGCTCCCAGCCCAGTCGCATCCACCATGCTTCTGGGAGAGAGGACCAACAAAGGAGGGAAAATAGAAGAAGGGTTATTGACAGGCCTTGTCCACCATCAACCCAGGGATGGGAGAGCTAGCAAGCATAGCTCTATTCATCTGCCTTCCGGGGTTATTCCTCTCCAGCTCCAGCCTTCATCCATCCCTACACCCCAAGCAACAAGCCTCTGTTTGTTTGCAGGCAATACTATGAAGTTATATTGGAACTGTTGGTTGAGTGATGACTAATCTTCCCACCCAAGGATCGCTATATGCTCCTATCCAAACCCCTAACCATTATGTCAAGCCCAGGCATGTTCTGTCCACCCAATTTCCACTCCACTCAGAAGGGGGTCTCCTGAACAGACAACTGCCCAAACCCCATAAACACCCACCCACCCCTTTCCAGTGACAGCTTAACTGGTTGACCAGTCCATGCAGGGGAAAGGAGGGGAGAACCTTTGCCTTCCAGTCACCCTCCAAAGAGTCCCAATTTTAAGGAAAAGGCAGGATGTAAATAGATATTATGAAGCAGCACTCAACAGATTGTGTCCCGTAATGCACACACCCCTTCTCACCCCCACTTCCTCTTCATATCTCACCATAGAGAGGATGCAGAGAAAAGAGAGTGTGTGTGTATATATGTGGGTGTGGGGGTGTATATATACATAGACAGAGCAGACAAAGTAGATATGTATGTATATATAGATACAGTAGATATGTGTGTGTATGTATGAATGTGTCTGTGTATATATATAGTATATTTAGTGATATATATCCATGTATATAGACAGTAAATTTAGTATGAGTTGTGTGTGTATAAATATATAGGTTTAATAGATATATGTGTGTATATATATATATATATGGTAAATGTAGTAGATATATATGCATGCGTATATATAGTAAATTTAGTAGAGATGTGTTTATATATATAGATTTCATACATATATGTGTGTATATATATATATATATATATATAGTTTAATGTGTATGTATTTATATAGATTTAGTAATAAGATGTATATATAGATAAAGTAGAGAGAGAGATGTAGTTATATAGTAAATTTGGTAGAGATATATGTAGATTTAGTAGATGTGTGTGTATAGTAGATTGAGTAGAGAGATGTATACACACACATATAGTTTATTTAGTAGAAGTACCATGTCTGTACGTATATAGTAGACTGAGTAGAGGGATGTACAAATATAGTAGATTTAGTATAGCTATAGTGAATTTAGTAAAGGTGTGTGTGTGTGTATACATATAGCAGATTTAGTAGAGAGAAATGTGTATATAGAGAGAATAGATATAGATATATATAGTGGATTTAGTAGAGAGGTGTGTGTGTGTGTGTGTGTGTATATACTAGAGATAAGTATATATATATAGTGGAATTAGTAGCGAGATATGTATATATAGTACATATGTGTGTGTGCATATATATAGTGGATTTAGTAGAGAGATATGTGTATGTGGCAACATATATATATAAATTTAGTAGTGAGATGTATATATATCGTAGATTTAGTAGAGGGGTGTATATCTAAATAGTAGGTTTAGTAGGGAGATATATATATAGTAGATTTAAAAGATATGTGTGGTTGTATGCATAGTGGATTTAGTAGGAGTGTGTGGGGGGGTATATATATACATAGATTTAGTAGCGAGTAGTATATATATAGTGGATTTAGTAGGAAGATGTATCTATATAGCAGATTTAGTAGATATATATCTGTGTGCATGTATATCTATATAGTAGATTTAGGAAAAGGATGTATATCTATATAATAGATTGAGTAGAGTGTGTGTGTGGTAGATTTAGTAGAGAGAAATGTATATACAGTGAATATATATATATAGCAGATTGAGTATATAAGTGTGTATATATATAGGTTTAGTAGATATATATAGTGGATTTAGTAGAGTAATATGTGTATAGTCGATTTAGTAGAGAGAAATGTGTGTGTATATACACACACAAGCATTCACACAGAGTGGATTTAGTAGCAAGATGTATATATATAGGAGATTGAGTAGATATATATGGGTGTATATACAGTAGGTTTAGTAGATATATAGTGGATTTAGTAGAGTGATGTGTGTGTACATATAAATGTAGATTTAGCACAGAAATGTATATATATATATATATATATATGGAGTAGATTTTGTAGGAAGATGGAGGTAATTAGATAAATGTTTTAATAGAAACAGACATAGATATACAGTATATAGATTTAGTAGTAAGAATTGTATATATAGTAGATTTAGTAGTGAGACGTGTGTGTGTGTATATATATAGTGTATTTGTTAGCAAGATGTATATATAATAGATTGAGTCGATACATATGTGTATGTATGTGTATATATATATATATATATATATATATTAGATTTAGAGTGATGTGTGTGTATGTGTGTATATATATATAGTAGATTTAGCATAGAGAAATGTACACACAGACATAGTGGATTTAGTAGGAAGATGGAGATAATTAGATAAATGATTTAGTAGAGATTCTTATATATGCACAATATATAGCAGATTTAGTATAGAGATGTGTGTGTATAGTATACTCAATATACATATGGTTGAGTAGACATTGATGTATGTGCATATAGTAGAAAGATAAAATATATAGTAACTTGAGTAGACATCTATGTATGTGTATGTAGTTTATATAAAATAGATTAAGTAGATATCTATGTATGTGTATGTAGTAGAAAGATCTATATCTACTCCATCTCTCTCTCTATATATATATATATATAGTAGATTTAATGTGTATGTGTGTGTGTATGTATATATATGTATGTGTGTGTGTGTGTGTGTGTATATATATATATATATATATATATATATTAGATTGAATGGACATCTATGTATGTGTATGATCTATGTATGGAGTAGAAAGATATGTATATGTGTGTATATTATACAGTAGATTGAGTAGACATCTATGTATGTGTATGTAGTAGAATATATATATATATATATAGCAAACTGAGTACATATCTATGTATGTGTATGTAGCAGAAAGATATATATCTACTCTCCCTCTCTCTATATATATATATGATTTTATATATACATATATAGTAGATTGAGTTCACATCTATGTATGTGTATGATCTATGTATGTGTATGTAGCAGAAAGACATATTATCTACTTAATCTACTATATATATATTAGATTGAGTAGATATATATATATAGAGAGAGAGAGGGTAGATTGAGTGGACATCTATGTCTGTGTATGTAGTAGACAGATATGGATATGTGTATATGTGTGTGTGTATTACAGTAGATTGAATAGCTATGTATGTGTATGTAGCAGAAAGATATACATTTACTCAGTCTACTATATAGATAGTAGATTGAGTGGACATCTATGTCTGTATATAGTAGACAGATATATATATACACACACACACACACATATTACAGTAGATTGAGTAGCTATCTATGCATGTAGCAGAAAGATATACCTATATATATATATATATATATATATATATGATTGAATCTCTCTCTCTCATATATATACACATGTAGATTGAGTCAGGGCACATATAGATTGAGTCTGGTAGCTATGTATGTGTATGTAACAGAAAGATATACAGCTACTCAATCTACTCTCTCTATATATATTTGATTGAATCTCTCTCTCTCTCTCTCTCTCTATATATATATATATATATAGATTGAGTGGACATTTATGTATGTGTATGATCTATGTATGTGTATGTAACAGAAAGATATATATCTACTCAATCTACTCTCTATCTATATATATATATTTGATTGAATCTCTCTCTATATAAATAAATATATAGAGTGGACATCTATGTATGTATATGATCTATGTATGTGTATGTAGCACAAAGATATACATCTACTTAATCTCCCTCTATATATATATTTGATTGAGTCTCTCTCTCTCTCTCTATATATATATATATATAGATTGAGTGGACATCTATGTATGTGTATGATCTATGTATGTGTATGTAGTAGAAAGATATACTCTATATATATATATATACATCTACTCAATCTGCTCTCTCTCTATATATATTTGATTGAATCTCTCTCACTCTCTCTCTTTCTCTCTCTCTATATATATAGATTGAGTGGACATCTCTATGTATGTGTATGATCTATGTATGTGCCTGTAGTAGAAAGATACGTATATATCGATTGAGTAGAAATCTATATATATGTATATAGATAGATGCAAGTAGATGCAGTCCTGTGGTGGGGGGGGAGAGAGAGAGCCAGCCCCCCTCCCGAATCCCCTCTTGGGGAAAGGTCTTTTCTTCGCGCCGCGCCCCTCCCCTCGCCAAGAAAGGACCTTTCTCCCCCCCCCCTCCTCGCCCCTCCACACAAAAGCCCCCCCCCCCCACACACACACACACACAGTCCCTCCCTGCCTCCCCCCATTGTCCCTTCCCTTCCCTCCTTCCCTTCTCCTTCCCCGAGGTGGGCCTGGGGCGCGAGGCAACCTACCGGATGGCGGTGGTCTGGGTCGGGTGCGGGCGGCGGTGGGGCGGGGCGGAGAAGGAGCCCAAGCGGCAGCGGGAGGAGGAGGAGGAGAAGGAGGCGGCGCCATGTTCCCCTCCCCTCTCTCCCTCCCTCTCTCCTTCCTTCCCTCTTTCTCTTTGCCTTCCTTCCTTCCTCTCACTCACTCCTTTTCTCCTTTCCTTTCCTTTTTTCCCTCAGAGAAAAGGAGGCCTATAATAATAATAAGAAGGAGAATAATAATGGCGGAGGATGAAGCAGATTCGTTTTCGCCTCACAAGGCGGCGGCGGCGGCAGCGGCGGCACCATAGGCGGGAGCGCGCATGCGCGTGCGCGCGAGGCAGGCCTCCGCTTGAGAGAGAGAGAGAGAAGGGAACGGGGTGGAGTATGCGGCGCGCATGCGCGTGCGCGCGAGGCAGGCCTCCGCTTGAGATAGAGAAGGGAACGGGGTATGCGCGCGCACCCCAGCGAAGAAAAAAAGAAAGAGGGGGCGGGGCTCTCTCTCTCTGTCTAGAGACCGCTATTAGAGCTGAGAGAAAAAAGAGAGACCCGAGTGCGCATGCGTGCCAAGCGAGACAAGGGAAACAGGAGGGAGGAAGAGGTTCTGCCTGGGGAGAGAGAGGGAGGAAGGGAGGCGGGGCGAACCTTTTACAAGCGAGAAACAACCAATCAGGGAAAAGGGGGTGGGGAAATAAATAGGCGGGGCTCGCTTCCGAACAGTTGATTGGTTCTAAAGGAGTAAGGAGTGGGCGGGATCTTGCAGGCCGGGCGGCCAATCAGAGCGGTTGCTCGCGCCCTAAAGGGTGTTTCTGAATGAGGGAAGGAGGGGGCTCGTGCGCGCGCCTTGCTTTTTGGGCCTTCTGTAATGCGAAAGGGGTGGAGAGGCGTGTTCTGCGCATGCGCGTTCTCTCCCTCATTTTTTCCTCTCTTCTGTAATGCGAAAGGGGTGGAAAGGCGTGTTCTGCGCATGCGCGTTCTCTCCCTCATTTTTTTCCCTCTTCTGTAATGCGAAAGAGGTGGAGAGCCGTGTTGCGCGCATGCGCGCTCCCACTCCCTCATTTTTTCCCTTCTGTACTGAGGTGGGTAGCTGTGTTCCGCGCATGCGCGCTCCCTCTCCCTCATTTTTTTCCCTTCTGTACTGAGGTGGAGAGCCGTGTTGCGCGCATGCGCGCTCTATCTCTCCCATTTTTTTCCTTCTGTAATGCGAAAGAGGCGGCTAGCCGTGTTCCACGCATGCGCGCTCCCTCTCCCTCATTTTTTTCCCTTCTGTACTGTGGATAGCCGAGTTGCGCGCATGCGCACTCCCTCTCCCTCATTTTTCCCTTCTGTAATGCGAAAGAGGTGGAGAGCCGTGTTCTGCGCATGCGCGCTCCGTCTCCCTCCTTTTTTTGCCTTCTGTAATGCGAAAGGAGTGGAGAGGTGTGTTCCGCGCATGCGCGGTCTCTCTCTCTCTCTCTCTCTCTCTCTCTCTCTCTCCAAACCAGGCTGCACCCAGGCTCAGCAGCATTTCCCTTCAAGCCAACCAGAGAAAGCAAAACAACCTTTTTCACATTCACTTGCGGTCTCTTTGCTTTGGAGATCCAAAGCTTGCATTTATAAATGCTCCACCAATATTGGGAATTGCAGGAATATTGTCTGCAGAGGCCAGGTTGCCCATGAATCTCTAGCATTGAGCCCTAGCCATAAAATCAGTGTCAAACTGCATTAATTCTACAGTATAGATCACGCATGGGCAAACTTCGGCCCTCCAGGTGGTTGGACTTCAGTTCTCAACTGCATTACCATTTAATAGCCTTGTAGCTTCAAAGCCTGGCTGCTTCCTGCTTGGGGAATCCGCATTAGCATTGAATGGCCTTGTAGCTTCAAAGCCTGGCTGCTTCCTGTCTAGATTTGGATTAGCATTGAATGGCCTTGTAGCTTCAAAGCCTGGCTGCTTCCTGCCTAGATTTGCATTAGCATTGAATGGCCTTGTAGCTTCAAAGCCTGACTGCTTCCTGCTTGAGGAATCTGCATTAGCATTGAATGACCTTGTAGCTTCAAAGCCTGGCTGCTTCCTGCTTGGGGAATCTGCATTTTATTTATTTATTTATTTGCGTCATTTATATGCCGCCCTTCTCACCCCGAAGGGGACTCAGACCGGCTTACAAGGTATACATACAATATATTATTAACATAGTACAATATCAGTTTTAAATATTGCTATATTTCACTATATCATTTATACTGTAATATTATTAGTAATATTACATGTAATATAAATATATAATTATAATATCATATTATTATTAGTAGTATTATATTGCATTACATTATATTATATTACATTATATTATATTATATTGCATTAGCATTGAATGGCCTTCTACCTTCAAAGCCTGGCTTGAGCAAACTTCAGGCCTCTAAGTGTTTTGGACTTCAACTCCCACAATTCCTAATAGCCTCAGGAAAGGGCCCAAGACTTTTAGGAATTGTGGGAGTTGAAGTCCAAAATTCCTGGAGTGTTTGTTTATTTGTTTACGGTATTTACGGTATTCTTACCCTGCAGGGGACTCAGGGTGGATCACAACAATCATATACATGGCAAACATTCAATGCCATAGACACACAACATATGTAAACAGACACACAGAGGCTATTTAACTTTCCAGCTTCATGAGAGTATGCTTTGAATTTCAGCCACCGGGGGAGCTGTCGCTTCACCATCCACTTGTGACTCCGATGGAGTACTTTCTCATTCTTTTTGCATGCTGCTGGAGAGTTTTATGGTGTTGTAAATTAGTTAAATTAGCCTCCCCACATAAGCGATATCTAAATTTACAACTAGACAGATGCAACTGTCTTTCGGGCTGCAAAGGTCGACAGCAAGCTAGACAAAGGGCCGGAAGCTCACTCCGACCCGGGCTGGCTTCGAACTCATGACCTCTCAGTCAGTAGTGATTTTAATACAGCTTACTCCCAACCAGCTGCACCACAACCCGGTCCAAGGCAGGAGCATCTCTACTTAACCACCACACTCCAGTCCAGATCTTTGCAAACCAAGAGGAACTAGTTGTCACAGCAAGTAGGAATTGACCCTGCTGCTATTTGTTACTTTTCAACCCAAGTCATCTGTTTTTCAGTGACCTTTGTGATGGCAAAATCTGTCTTTCCCCCCGCTCTGTCTATGTCAATATTCCTCATTTAGACTCACCGGACAGCGCAATCTGGACTCTGCTCTTTCCTGGACCCGTACTTTGCCTAGAAATCCTGAAAACAAACAAATGAAGACACATCCAGTGTAGTTTAAAATGAGACACATCTATGTCTATTTCCTAAGAACGGATCCAGTTATTATTGCTATTCTAAGCAGTAGTCACAGATACATACAATTCAGGTCCCCTCCAAATGGAACAGACCAGCGGATCTCAACCCTAACCCGACCCCTTAATACAATTTCTCGTGTTTTGGTGACCCCCAACCATAACATTATTTTCGTTGGTACTTCACAACTGGAATTTTGCTAGTGTTATGAATCGCAATGTAAATATCTGATATACAGGATGTATTTTCATTCACTGGACCAAATTTGGCATAAATACCCAATATGCCCAAATTTGAATTGGTGAGGTTGGGGAGACTGATTTTGTCACTTGAGAGTTGTAGTTGCTGGGATTTATAGTTCACCTACAATCAAAGAGCATTCCCAATCGCGCCAACAATGGAATTGAACAGTTTGAAATTGCATTGTATGGCCAGTGTAGAGTCATATCATTCACCTACGATTGTAGGTGAACTACATTACAATTCATAACAATAGCAAAATTATGATTATGAAGTAGCAACGAAAATAATGTTATGGTTGGGGGTCACCACCACATGGGGACCTGTATTGAGAGGTCGCAGCATTAGGAAGGTTGAGAAAGACTGCTTTAATGTATTCCAGCAATAGAGAGAATTGTCCTGAAATGACCAGAGGAAACGAATAGACAACCACTTCAGTACCTTGAATAAAGCCGTGTTTGAAAATGGAAATTTGTTACTCTGATTGACTCTTTGTTATAACATCTATGTCATCTATACACACACACATATATATGTATATGTTTATGTATATGTATATCTCAGAGATGCTAAAGGCTGCTCAAACTTTTGTATAGTGGCATTTATTTAACATGCCAGTAAGGTAATGTTCAAGATCCTGCAAGGAAGACTTCAGCAAGACATGGAGAAAATGCAGCATTGCCCAAACACGAATCAAGGGACATGAAAGGCACTGCAGACTACTCCAACCAGAGAAGTCAGCCATAGCAGAGCACCTGATGAACCAACCTGGACACAGCATATTATTTGAGAACACAGAAATGCTGGACCACTCTCACAACCACCATGTCAGACTACACAGAGAAGCCATTGAAATCCACAAGCATGTGGACAATTTCAACAGAAAGAAAACAAATGAACAAAATCTCGCTGCCAGTATTAAAAAACTCTAAAATCACAACAGCAAAACAACAGAGAGGAAACATACAAGGACAGTTAATCACCTCTCAACAAAAGATTGCCCCAGGCACTGCCAGGCCATCAAATGCTAATCAAGGTGGTCAGTTGAAACATTCACACCTAGCTCCAGCAACAAGAGTCCTTTGTCCCACCCTGGTCATTCCACAGATATATAAACCCATTTTCCTAGTTCCAACAGACCTCACTACCTCTGAGGATGCTTGCCATAGATGCAGGCGAAACGTCAGGAGATAATGCCTCTAGAACATGGCCATATAGCCCGAAAAAACCCACAACAACCCATGGAGAGAGAGTTGCCAGATGGACAAGCTGGGTTCAGAAAAGGCAGAGGAACCAGAGACCTGATTGCCAATATCCAGATGCTGGATAATGGAGAAAGGCAGGGAGTTTCAGAAAACATCTATTTCTGCTTCATTGACTATTCTAAAGCCTTTGACTGTGTCGATCATAATAAATTGTGGCAAGTTCTTGGTGGGATGGGCATCCCAAGCCACATTGTCTCTCTCCTGAGGAATCTGTACAAGGACCAAGTTATTTATTTATTTATTTATTTATTTTGGTACACTTGTATACCGCTAATTTCTCAGCCTAGAACGGCGACTCAATTGCGGTTTACAGCATTTTAAAAACAATCTCAGTTTAAAAACATATACAAATACAATAACAAATTATTGGGCCACCAATAATAATCCCATATATCTCAAGTTAAAATCACAATCCAGAGTTCGTTGTCCATATTTCCTGTCCATAGTCACCAAGATTCGATTTAATTGCCACAGATTAACCGAATGCTTGTTTAAACATCCATGTCTTCAGATTTTTCCGAAATACCATCAGCGAGGAAGCTGATCTTATCTCTATGGGGAGGGCATTCCAAAGCCGAGGGGCCACCACAGAGAAGGCCCTGTCTCTCGTTCCCGCCAGCCGCACTTCTGAAGCCGGAGGGATAGAGAGCAGGGACTCTCCAGAAGATCTTAGGGTCCTGGTGGGCTGATAGGCTGAGATACGTTCGGATAGATAAGTTGGGCCAGAACCGTTTAGGGCTTTAAAGGCCAACGCCAGCACCTTGAATTGAGCCCGGTAGCAGATCGGCAGCCAGTGGAGCTGGTTCAGCAAGGGAGTTGTATGCTCCCTGCGATCAGCTCCTGTTAAAATCATGGCTGCCGCCCGTTGGACTAACTGGAGCTTCCGGACTGTCTTCAAAGGCAACCCCACGTAGAGAGCGTTGCAGTAATCAAGGCGGGATGTAACCAGAGCGTGGACTACCGTGGCTAAGTCGGGCTTCCCAAGGTACGGTCGCAGTTGGCGCACAAGTTTTAACTGTGCGAATGCTCCCCTGGTCACCGCCGAAACCTGGGGTTCCAGGCTCAGCGATGAGTCCAGGATCACCCCCAAACTGCGAACCTGTCTTCAGGGGGAGTGCGACCCCGTCTAACACAGGCTGTAACCCTATACCCTGTTCGGCCTTGCGACTAACCAGGAGTACCTCTGTCTTGTCTGGATTCAATTTCAATTTGTTCGCCCCCATCCAGACCGTCACAGCGGCCAAGCACCGGTTCAGGACCTCGACAGCCTCCTTAGTAGCAGGTGGAAAGGAGTGACAGAGTTGGACATCATCTGCGTACAGATGACATCGCACTCCGAAACTCCGGATGATCTCACCCAGAGGCTTCATGTAGATGTTAAACAACATGGGAGACAGTATTGAACCCTGAGGAACCCCACAAGACAAAGGTTGTGGGGTTGAACAGGAGTCTCCCAGTAACACCTTCTGAGACCGACCCTCGAGGAATGAGCGGAGCCACTGCAGAACAGTACCTCCAAGACCCATCCCCGCGAGGCGTCCCAGAAGGATACCGTGGTCGACGGTATCAAAGGCCGCTGAGAGGTCGAGCAGCACCAACAGGGACACACTCCCCCTGTCGAGCTCCCGACGCAGATCATCCACTAAGGCGACCAAGGCTGTCTCGGTACCATGCCCCGGCCTAAAGCCAGACTGTGCCGGATCCAGATAATCCGTGTCTACCAAGAATGCCTGGAGTTGTGAGGCCACCACACGTTCCATGACTTTGCCCAAAAAGGGGAGATTGGAAACAGGCCGATAGTTGACGAATTGAGTGGGGTCCAGTGATGGTTTCTTCAACAGCGGTTTTATCACAGCTTGCTTTAAGCTGGCTGGAATTTTGCCCTCCCGAAGGGAGGCATTAACCACCACCTTCACCCACTCGGCCAATTCCCCTCTGGCCTCCTTCAGAAGCCAGGATGGGCAGGGGTCTAGGATGCATGTGGTAGCTCTCATTCATCCAAGCACCTTGTCCACATCCTCGGATTGAACCAATTGAAATGAATCCATCAAAACCGGACAAGCAGATGCTCGTGTTACATCCTCAGATACTGCCGTTAATATGGTATCCAGTCCAGAGCGGATCAAAGCGACTTTGTCTGCGAAGAACCGGGCAAAAGCTTCGCAGCGAGCTGCCGAGTCCTCAGGGCACCCATCCTGAATGGTGGGTTTTAATAGGCCTCTGACAACTCGGAACAGTTCAGCCGGACGGTTCTTCGCAGACGCAATAGTGGCCGCAAAGAAGGTTTTCTTTGCGGCCTTTATTGCCGCGGCATATGCCCTTAAAAAGGACACAACAACCTCCAACAATTCTTCCTCTGTACATAAGGCAGGGCATAGTGGACAAGCATACAGATGTGGAGTTGTCTGTTCTGCTCCACAGTCACAGGGCAAGATTTATTTATTTATTTATCGTGTCAGGAGCAAAAGAAATAGTTGTATTGCATTTTTAAACAAACAAACAAACAAAACACAAAGTTTGCAAGCTTGGCAGTTGATTAAATGTCCTTTGACCAGTAACTGGCCACTTGGAGTGCCTCTGGTGTTGCCGCAAGAAGGTCCTCCATTGTGCATGTGGCAGGGCTCAGGGTGCATTGCAGCAGGTGGTCAGTGGTTTGCTCTTCTCCACACTCGCATGTTGTGGATTCCACTTTGTTGCCCCATTTCTTAAGGTTGGCTCTTCATCTCATGGTGCCAGAGCGCAGTCTGTTCAGCGCCTTCCAAGTCACCCAGTTTTCTGTGTGCCCAGGGGAAGTCTCTCATTTGGTATCAGCCATTGATTGAGGTTCTGGGTTTGAGCCTGCCACTTTTGGATTCTCGCTTGCTGAGGCATTCCAGAGAGTGCCTCTGAAGATCTTAGAAAACTATTTCTTGATTTAAGTTGTTGACGTGCTGGCTGACACCCAAACAAGGGATGAGCTGGAGATGTCACTGCCTTGGTCCTTTCACTATTGGCTGCTACTTCCCGGCGGATGTCAGGTGGTACAATACCGGCTAAGCAGTGTAATTTCTCCAGTGGTGTAGGGCGCAGACACCCCGTGATAATGCGGCATGTCTCATTAAGAGCCACATCCAGTGTTTTAGCGTGGTGAGATGTGTTCCACACTGGGCATGCATACTCAGCAGCAGAGTAGCATAGCGCAAGGGCAGATGTCTTCACTGTGTCTGGTTGTGATCCCCAGGTTGTGCCAGTCAGCTTTCGTATGATATTGTTTCTAGCACCCACTTTTTGCTTGATACTCAGGCAGTGCTTCTTGTAGGTCAGAGCACGATCCAGAGTGACTCCCAGGTATTTGGGTGAGCTGCAATGCTCCAGTGGGATTCCTTCCCAGGTCATCCTCAGAGCTCGAGATGCTTTCCTTTTCTTAAGGTAAAAAGCACATGTCTGTGTTTTAGATGGATTAGGGATCAGCTGATTTTCCTGTAATATGCAGTAAGAGCACCTAGAGCAGTGATTTTCAACCTGGGGTCTCCAGATGTTTTTGGCCTTCAAGTCCCAGAAATCCTAACGGCGGGTAAACTGGCTGGGAGAGCTTCTGTTCAGTGATCTCAAAGCTCCCTGCTTGAATGGTGATGGCACGATCATCAGCATAGATGAAGCTCTCTGTCCCTTCTGGCAGTGGCTGGTCATTTGTGTAGATGTTGAACATGGATGGAGCAAGCACGCTCCCGAGGCAGGCCGTTCTTCTGTTTCCGCCATCTGCTTCTCTGGCCCTGGAACTCAACAAAAAAGCTCCTGTTTTGTAGCAGGTTTCCTATGAGGCGGGTGAGGTGGTAGTCCTTTGTGATATTATACATTTTTCTCAGGATGAGGCGGTGGTTTGCAGGGCAAGAGGGATGGATGGTATCCTTGAAGTGACTGGCTTGACTCTGAAGGAGCTGGGGTGGCCACGGCCGACAGGGAGCTCTGGCGTGGACTGGTCCGGGACGTCACCAAGAATCATAGAATCAAAGAGTTGGAAGAGACCTCATGGGCCATCCAGTCCAACCCCCTGCCAAGAAGCAGGAATATTTGCACTCAAATCACCCCTGACAGATGGCCATCCAGCCTCTGTTTAAAAGCTTCCAAAGAAGGAGCCTCCACCACACTCCGGGGCAGAGAGTTCCACTGCTGAACGGCTCTCACAGTCAGGAAGTTCTTCCTCAGTTCAGATGGAATATCCTCTCTTGTAGTTTGAAGAGCCGGAAGCAACTGAAAGAATAAACAAGAACACAACATATATTTATGTAGCCTTTGAAATATCACCAAAGCTACAATGTTAAAGGAGTTTATTTATTTATTTATTTATTTTGAGCTTTTATAACCTGGTCTTCTCGACCTCCGAAGAGGGACTCAGGCCGGCTAACAGCAGAGGGTTAAAATACAATAAGATAAACCACAGTAAACATCATAATACAATAGTACAAAAATACATTAAAATACAATTATACAACTTACAAAGGAGTTATTATACATTTATGTGAGGGGAAAACACTTTGTATTTTCCCCTAATGCGAGGGCGCCCCCTTCTGTTAGGGAAGATTTCCCACCTTCCATGGGGCCTATTAGGCCTTGCAAAAGCCTGGGGCTCGAGTAGTCATGCTCTCGGGCCGGAAGTGCGAGGCCCTCGGCTTCTTTCCCTCTTACGACTCCCCAGCTTCGCTTGAGTCCTGCATAACGTGAGCGCCCCCTGCTGGACGCTCGCTGTCACGCTTGGATACAGTTCCCTCGCTCACTTGGGCGGAAGAAAAACTACACTTCCCGGCATGCCCTCTTGTGGTCTTACACTGCAAGTCCCAGCATGCTGAGCGCCCTCTGGAGGCTGGTTTGCCGGATATCCGGACTGTGTGGGGGAGTTGAGCCAGCTGCCACAGAGTTCTGTGTGGAAGGAGGGCTTCAAGGCAACCACCATTATGGTAAAGGAAAGGGATTTTGGGAATTGGGGTTGTTTACATTTTGTGGGAGGCACAGGCCTGTGTTTTGGGGGGCAGCCTATGCAAAGAAAGGGGGCAATTATAAGGGAGGGGGGAGATCAAGGCCTGCTACCATTTCTATACCATAACATCCTGTTTTCTATTATTCTACGCCATTGCTGGGCTGTCATTTCTTTCTATTCTGTGTATTATTTTCTATTATGGCTATTTTCTATGCAATTTGCAACATTATATAGCAGGCATGGGCGAACTTGGGCCCTCCAGGTGCTTTGGACTCAAACTCCCACAATTCCTAACAGCCGACCTCCGATGATGGGAGAAGGAGACACGGTCTCTAAGATACAATGGACCCTGGCCATATTTATTTATTTGTCGTGTCAGGGCAACCAGTCAATTATATTACATTTCTAAAAGAACAAAGCAAACAGACAAAATACAAAATTTGTGAGTTTGGTAGTTGATTAAATGTCCTTTGACCAGTATCTGGCCACTTGGAGTGCTTCTGGTGTTGCTGCAAGAAGGTCCTCCATTGTGCATGTGGCAGGGCTCAGGTTGCATTGCAGCAGGTGGTCAGTGGTTTGCTCTTCTCCACACTCGCATGTCGTGGATTCCACTTTGTGGCCCCATTTCTGAAGGTTGGCTCTGCATCTCGTGGTGCCAGAGCGCAGTCTGTTCAGCGCCTTCCAAGTCGCCCAGTCCTTCTGTGTGCCCAGGGGGGAGTCTCTCATTTGGTATCAGCCATTGGTTGAGGTTCTGGGTTTGAGCCTGCCACTTTTGGACTCTCGCTTGCTGAGGTGTTCCAGCGAGTGTCTCTGTAGATCTTAGAAAACTATTTATGATTTCTCTTTGGGATATTTATTTATCGTGTCATCAGCAACCATTGTATTACAATTCTAACAGAGCAAAACAAACACACAGATTAAAAAGAAAAAGGAAAAAACACACAGATTTTGCAAATTTGGTATTTGGTTAAATGTCCTTTGACCAGTATCTGGCCACTTGGAGTGCCTCTGGGGTTGCCGCAAGAAGGTCCTCCATTGTGCATGTGGCAGGGCTCAGGGTGCATTGCAGCAGGTGGTCAGTGGTTTGCTCTTCTCCGCACTCGCATGTCGAGGATTCCACTTTGTGGCCCCATTTCTTAAGATTGGCTCTGCATCTCGTGGTGCCAGAGCGCAGTCTGTTCAGCGTCTTCCAAGTCTCTCATCTGGTATCAGCCATGAATTGAGGTGCTGGGTTTGGGCCTGCCACTTTTGGACATGAGAGAAGCCTCCTCGCAGGATTGCAAGACATCCGGGCGTCCCCTGGGCAACGTCTTCGTAGACGGCCGATTCTCTCGATCCAGAAGCAACCAGAGTTGATGTGCTGGCTGATACCCAAACAGAGGATGAGCCGGAGATGTCACTGCCTTGGTCCTTTCACTATTGGCTGCTACTTCCCGGCGGATGTCAGGTGGTGCAATACCGGCTAAGCAGTGTAATTTCTCTAGTGGTGTAGGGCGCAGACACCCTGTGATAATGCGGCATGTCTCATTAAGAGCCACATCACTGTTTTAGTGTGGTGAGATGTGTTGCACACTGGGCATGCATATTCAGCAGCAGAGTAGCATAGTGCAAGGGCAGATGTCTTCACTGTATCTGGTTGTGATCCCCAGGTTGTGCCAGTCAGCTTTCATATGATATTGTTTCTAGCACCCACTTTTTGCTTGATGTTCAGGCAGTGCTTCTTGTAGGTTAGAGCACGGTCCAGGGTGACTCCCAGGTACTTGGGTGCGCTGCAATGCTCCAGTGGGATTCCTTCCCAGGTGATCCTCAGAGCTCGGGATGCTTCTCTGTTCTTGAGATGAAAGGCACATGTCTGTGTTTTAGATGGGTTGGGGATCAGCTGGTTTTCCCTGTAATAGGCAGTAAGGGCACCTAGAGCTTCGGAAAGCTTCTGTTCTACCATCTCAAAGCTCCCTGCTTGAGCAGTAATGGCACGATCATCAGCATAGATGAAGCTCTCTGTCCCTTCTGGCAGTGGCTGGTCATTTGTGTAAATGTTGAACATGGATGGAGCAAGCACGCTCCCCTGAGGCAGGCCGTTCTTCTGTTTCCGCCCATGCCTGGTATATACTATTTTCTATACCTAAAGTGGGAGCTAGAAACAATATCATACGAAAGCTGACTGACACACCCTGGGGATCACAACCAGATAATAATAATAATAATAATAATAATAATAATAATAATAATGTATTGTCGAAGGCTTTCATGGCCAGAATTTTTCGGGTTTTTTCAGGTTATATGGCCATGTTCTAGAGGCATTCTCTCCTGATGTTTCACCTGCATCTATTATTATTATTATTATTAACTTTATTTGTACCCCGCTAGCATCTCCCGAAGGACTCGATGCAGCTTACAAAGGCCAAGGCCTCAACAAACAATAGCATAACAAATACAACTGAAAGCAAAATCAAAAACATTAAAGCAAAACAATAAAACAACAGAACAATACACCATAACACAATAAAAACTAGGGCCGGGCCAAGTAATGGGTACAGATTAAAAAGTGCTGGGTGTGACAGGTGGTATGTCGAATTTCAGGGTAAATGCAATGTGCAGAGAATCTTAAAACTCTAATAAAGTGCTTCTGGGACATAATGCTGGAGTTTCCTATTCTGGAAAGGCACATCGGAATAGCCAGGTGTTCAAGCTCTTCCTAAAGACTGCCAACGTGGGTGCTAGTCTGATGTCTTTGGGGAGGGTGTTCCAAAGTTGGGAGGCAACCACAGAAAAGGCCCTGTCCCTCGTCCCCACCAAACGCGCCTGCGACACAGGAGGGATCGCGAGCAGGGCCTCTCTGGATGAACGAAGGGGAATGCGTGAGCTCATAAACGGAGATGCGGTCACACAGGTAGGCAGTTCCCAAACCGTTTAGGGCTTTGTAGATAAGCACCTGCACCTTGAATTGGGATCGGAAGGTAAACGGCAGCCAATGGAACTCCTTAAACAGGCAAGCATACTCAGAAGTAGTGAGGTCTGTTGGAACTAGGAAAATTGGGTTTATATATCTGTGGAATGACCAGGGTGGGACAAAGGACTATTGTCTGTTGGAGGTAGGTGTAAATGTTTCAACTGACAAACTTGATTAGGCGGTCAACCCTCCTGTTTAAGGAGCTCCACTGGCTGCCATTTATTTTCCGGACCCAATTCAAGGTGCAGGTTCTCACCTACAAAGCCCTGAACGGTTTGGGACCCGCCTACCTGCGTGACCGCATCTCTGTATATGAACCCACACGATCTCTTCGATCATCTGGAGAGGCCCTGCTCTCGCTCCCACCTGCATCCCAAGCGCAATTGGTGGGAATGAGAAAGAGGGCCTTTTCGGTGGTGGCCCCCCGACTCTGGAACTCACTTCCTAAGGACATCAGGCATGCCCCAACTCTGGCAGTCTTTAGAGGAGCTTGAAGACGTGGTTGTTCCAGTGTGCCTTCCCAGAATAATGATCCCACCTCACTACCTCTGAGGATGCTTGCCATAGATGCAGGCGAAACGTCAGGAGAAAATGCCTCTAGAACATGGCCATATAGCCCGAAAAAACCCACAAGAACCTAGATCCCATAGCACTTTGTCCTCCAAAGCACTTTATATTGTTTAGGTCTGCTTGTATGTTTCCACAAACGCCCCATCACTTTTTCACCCATGTACAGCATTATTTTTAAATTTTAATTACATGTGGCCTACCCATAGATTTTAAAGTGTGTTGTCCTATTGTTAATGCTTATGTTATTGTTTTACTGTCTTGTTGATTTTAATTGCTTGTGTTGTTGTTGTTATTGCTTGTATTGTACCATCTCCCCAAGGGACTCGGTGCGGCTTACACGAGGCCGAGCCCATAGAACAACAATAATAAAAGCAATAACAAAACATCAATACAAAACAATCAAAATAAATCTCATAAACAAAAAATAAACAATAAACAGTAACAGTAACAACAAGCATTTAAAAACCTATGGCTGGGCCAAATGTGATAATTAAAAATTAAAAAATAATGCTGGGCAATGAACAAGGTAATATACTGGGATAAAATTTTCGGCGAGAGATGGGGTGAGCAAACAATCCTAAATCAATGATAAAGTGCATTTAGAGAACCTGTATCAAGGAATGAATTGTTGGCTGTTTTGTGGTGAGAATTTGGACTAGATTTCTTATGAAATCAAGTCTCTTGCTGCTACGATTGGCACAATTTGGGTGCCCTCCCTGCATTGAAACCTTGAATAGTCAGAATTGTTTCTGCACATAAAGTTGAGTTCTAAAAAAATGGTGTGAATGACGTACAGTCCCAAACCGTGGGATCTTTGGAAGCATCTGTTTTCAAAAATTCTAAAGAGAGAAAAATGCTGCATGTTTGTAACTCATGGATCTGTGGTATTTCTTATCAAGTTAATCCTTAGGAGAGAAATAATTTGAAAGGGACAAATCTGTCTGACAACTGTTGTGCAATGGGAAGGAAGTTGTGTAATTCTCATTTCCCATGGCTTTTCTGTGAAAGTCTTTATCCGTTATACCAGCTCATCAAATAATTAAGGGCACTATCTGTTAGCTCATTTATTGATAATACTCTTTTCATATCCAAAATACAGGAAGCTGTACTTTTTTTGTTGACATTGTGATAACCCAAATTATTATTACAATTCAAGAATTACTATAATCCTGTTCTCCATGTCTTTGTGGCTAGTATTTAATATTTAATAGTTAATGTCAGTGCATAATGTTGGAGAGTTTGTTCCTCATGTCCAAAGGATGGAAACCATATTTCAGCTGGGGTGCATAAGACAGCCTTCCCCAAGCCCCCTTCAGATATATCCTAGTTTAAAAGATAAATGTTTTTCCCTAACATTAAATCCAGTCGTGTCCGACTCTGGGGGTTAGTGCTCATCTCCATTTCTAAGCTGAAGAGCTGTTGTTGTCTGTAGACACCTCCAGGACAATGTAGCCAGCATGACTGCATGGAGCACGTTACCTTCCCGTCAGAGAAGGGGATGCTGGGAGCTGTAGTCTAGGGGATGCTGGGAGCTGTAGTCTGGAAGAGTGTGTGGATATGCTATTGTATGTTTTGTTTGCCAAGGGGAGTAGTTTTTGCGGATGTGCTGTAGCATCTTTTTTTCCTTTTTGGCTTTTTTTCCTTTTTTGGCTCTCTTCTGCTGTGTTTTTCAGTGTTTTTATGAGTGATGGTCATTCATTGGCCTAATAGGTGTATTGTGTCCAAATTTTGTGTCAATTTGTCTAGTGGTTTTTGAGTTATGTTAACCCCACAAACTAACATTACATTTTTATTTATATAGATTTGTTTATATAGATTGGCTCCCTCTTGTAGGCACACTGTAATAAATGATCATGGTGATACTGTAGGTTGCACTGCCTCCTTTTTCTTGTCTTGCTTATTTTCCCATCAAAGGAAATCCAGTCTTATATGGTTAGGTGCCATCTCATTGGGATGGTGTCTCCTCAGATTGGCCGGCGAATCCTCTTGGCAAGAGATGCTGCTTTTCTGTAGGGCCTCGGATGCGGACATCGCTTGGATGCCTTCCCTGATTCATCAGAAATCTCATCCACATGAAAATTGGTAGTGGCTGCCCAACATGCCATTAGTTCTGTTTTGGCTGCTTAAAAAGGCTTGCCTTTGTTTGGTGCTGGAACAGACCGCGAGCCATCCGTTGTGTGTCTTTGCTGATTCTGCTGGGCTGGCTCTTTTCACCAGGGTGGGTCACTTTCCTATCTCGTAAGCACATTGAACAGGAAGAAGAGCTAAGCAGGCACTGAGTCACACAAAAGAAGCCTTTTCTCTGGGGAAAGCTTAAAGTGTGTCCCCAATCCATGCATACCATAGCAAAGGAATGGAAGGAAGGAAGCGAGTAGCTGATCAAAACAGGCACGAGATGTTTGAACTGTAGCAGAAAACTTTCAGAGTATGGAGAGGGACTCCGGAGTCTTGTGAATATTATACTCCAGAACTTACAATGGACCCTTGGCATCTGCTGGGGTTTGGTGTGGATCCCAAAATTTGTGCATGCTCAGATTCCATTATATATCATGGCAAAGTAAAATGATATCCCTTATATAGAAAGGTAAAGTCAAAATTAGCCTTTTGAAATACACATACACACACACACACACACATTATATATCATGGCAAAGTAAAATGACATCCCTTATATAGAAAGGTGATGTGGAGAGTGTCTTGTTTGCCCACCCTGGATCATGCAACATATCATTGTCCTTCTGTAAGGGTCCCTTTCAAATCTATGATACTATATTTCTCTGTGTGTGAATCATATCTATCTATCTATCTATCTATCTATCTATCTATGGCTGGATGGGTCCTTGTCAAGAGGACTTTGATTATGTTTTCTTGCCCTGGTAAAGGGAGTTGGACTGGATGGCCTTAAGTATTTTCTGTTGGTCATGGGGACTCTGTGTGGGAAGTTTGCCCAGTTCTGTCGTTTGTGGGGTTCAGAATGCTCTTTGATTGTGAACTGTGAATCCCAGTGACTACAACTCCCAAATGTCAAGATTCTATTTTCCCAAAACTCCACCAGTGTTCACATTTGGACATATTGAGTATTCTTGTAGAGTTTGGTCCAGATCCATCATTGTTTGAGTCCACAGTGATCTCTGGATGTAGGTGAACTACAACTCCAAAACCAAAGGACACTGCTCACCAAACCCTTCCAGTATTTTCTGTTGGTCATGGGAGTCCTGTGTGCCAACGTTTGGTTCAATTCCATCCTTGGTGGGGTTCAGAATGCTCTTTGATTGTAGGTGAACTATAAATCCCAGCAACTACAACTCCCAAATGACAAAATCATTTTTTTTGCGTGAAGGACATACAATGGGTTGTTAAGGTGTCTTGTGTCCAAATTTGGTGTCAATGAGTCCAGTGGTTTTTGAGTTCTGTGAATCCTACAAACGAACATTACATTTTTATTTATATAGTTACACACACACCAGATCAGTCTTTAAATGCTAGTTGTTTCCATCATGGTTGTAGCTCACTTGCATGTTTGGTGAAGAAAAATAACAAGAAGGCAAAAACAGATTTGGAGAACGGTCCTTCCGGCATCTCTTCCTGAGTACCTGATCTAATATTGCTTTCTTCTCATCAGCCTGCACTATGGTTGGAGAACAATGCAGCTTGTGCCTATCCCCATGGATGGGAATGATCCAGTTTGCTCGTGATACAGCTGCTTAGTAGAATTACTGAGGCTGGCATTTGCGTCTCTGAATGCCTGCCTTCTCTGGGCTTACGTCTTGAATCAGAAGCCATACATTTCTTCTTCCTCATGATAGAAGATGGTCTTCTTTTGCATTCTCTAGAAATCAAGTGTGGTCATAATTGCAATTGGAATAAAAAGCATACTTGAGGTATTGGCAACTGAGGAAATTCTCCTTGAGTCTCAGTGCTCACTTTTTTTAAAATAATATCACAAAGAACGACCACCTAACCCACCTCATAAGAAACCTGCTACAAAACAGGAGCTTCTTTGTTGTGTTCCAGGGCCAGAGAAGCAGATGGCGGAAACAGAAGAACAGCCTGCCTCAGGGGAGCGTGCTTGCTCCATCCATGTTCAACATCTACACAAATGACCAGCCACTGCCAGAAGGGACAGAGAGCTTCATCTATGCTGATGATCGTGCCATCACTGCTCAAGCAGGGAGCTTTGAGATGGTAGAACAGAAGCTCTAGGTGCTCTTACTGCCTACTACAGGGAAAACCAGCTGATCCCTAATCACCACGCTAAAACACTGGATGTGGCTCTTAATGAGACATGCCGCGTTATCGCGGGGTGTCTGCGCCCTACACCACTGGAGAAATTATACTGCTTAGCCGATACTGCACAACCTGACATCTGCCGGGAAGTAGCAGCCAATAGTGAAAGGACAAAGGCAGTCACATCTCCAGCTCATCCCTTGTTTGGGTGTCAGCCAGCACGTCAACAGCTTAAATCAAGAAATAGTTTTCTAAGATCTTCAGAGGCACTCTCTGGAATGCCTCAGCAAGCGAGAATCCAAAAGTGGCAGGCTCAAACCCAGAACCTCAATCAATGGCTGATACCAAATGAGAGACTCCCCCCTGGGCACACAGAAGACTGGGTGACTTGGAAGGCACTGAACAGACTGCGCTCTGGCACCACGAGATGCAGAGCCAACCTCAAGAAATGGGGCCACAAAGTGGAATCCACGACATGCGAGTGTGGAGAAGAGCAAACCACTGACCACCTGCTGCAATGCACCCTGAGCCCTGCCACATGCACAATGGAGGACCTTCTTGCAGCAACACCAGAGGCACTCCAAGGGGCCAGATACTGGTCAAAGGACATTTAATCAACTACCAAGCTTGCAAATTTTGTGTTTTGTCTGTTTGTTTTGTTCTGTTAGAAATGTAATACAATTGTCTGGTTGCCCCTGACATGATAAATATATATGTGCTCACTGACCTAATTGTTTTATCAATTTGCAGATCCGCTTCATTCTGATCCAGAACCGGGCCGGCAAAACACGCCTTGCCAAATGGTACATGCAGTTTGATGATGATGAGAAGCAGAAGTTAATTGAAGAGGTCCACGCCGTGGTCACTGTCCGAGATGCAAAGCACACCAACTTTGTTGAGGTGCGTAGCTTCCCATGCCATCTAAATCTGGCATGCTGTTGACTCTTGCAGATCGAACCAATGAGGAGGGCATTTTGTATACTGCAATTTATTTGGATGGCTGAGGTTAGCAAAGATATAGCCATCTTAATTTCTTTCAGCATAAAAAGATGTAATCACGCATCATGTATGTCCGATCTCATAACTGTTATCTTTCACTCTTTTACTTTCAGTTCCGCAATTTCAAAATCATCTACAGGCGCTATGCAGGGCTTTATTTCTGCATCTGTGTAGATGTGAATGACAACAACTTGGCTTACCTAGAAGCCATTCACAACTTTGTGGAGGTGAGTATCTACAGCAGGGGTCCTCAAACTAAGGCCCTCCAAGGTCATTTACCCGGCCCTCGCACAGGGTCAACCTAAGTCTGAAACGACTTGAAAGCACACAACAACAACCCTATCTCATCAGCCAAAAGCAGGTCCACACTTCCCATTGAAATACTAATAACTTTATATTTGTTAAAATTGTTCTTCATTTTAATTATTGTATTGTTTAAAGTGTTTTTTGCACTACAAATAAGATATGTGCAGTGTGCATAGGAATTCATTCATGTTTTTTTCAAATTATAGTCCGACTCTCCAACAGTTTGAAAAACTGTGACCTGACCCTCTGTTTAAAAAGTTTGAGGGCCCCTGATCTACGATGTGGGATGTGTGTGTGTGTGTGTGTGTGTGTGAAGAGCGACTTGAGAAACCGCAACTTGTTTCTGGTGTGAGAATTGGCTGCCTGCCAATGGTCAGGATGTTGCTCGGGGACACCCGGATGTATTACCATCTTGTGGAAGCTTCTCTCATGTCCCCACATGAGAAGCTGGAGCTGACAGATGGGAGCTCATCCCATCTCGCTGCCGACCTTCAGGTCAGCAGTTCAGCCACCACAAGGGTTTAACCCATTTGCCACCGCAACTGGGATGCAAACAGAAGGAGATGGGACACACACAGAAAGGGGGCGATCATAATCTTCCTTGTGGAGTGTTTTCCACTTTGAGGAGGAATTGTTTGATCAAATACTTCTCTGTCATGACCATAGAACTGCATTGGACACTTGACGTTACCCAGACAGAACATATTAAATCCACAGAAGTGAAACCTGCAAATGTGGAGGACTGACTGTACTCTTTAGCTGTTTTATTTATTTATTTATTTCTTTCGAGGTTTTATATACCGACCCTCTCACCTTCAAAGAGGGATTCAGACTGGTTCACAACATGTGTTAACATACAAAAAATATACAATAACAACACAATGCCACTTCATTACACAATTAAATTAAAATATCAGCACCATACACATTAAAACATTATCATCCCAGTTAAAAGAGCCAAATCGTCCGACACCATCACAATCCCATTCATCATCCTCCTTTCATGTGGGCAAAGAATTAAATCAGTTGTCAAATGCCGCGTTCCACAACCAGGTCTTTGTTAGTTTCCTGAACGTCATGAGGGAGGGGGCAGTTCTGATCTCTAATGGCAGGGAGTTCCAAAGTCGAGGGGCCACCATCGAGAAGGCCCTGTCCCTCGTCCCCACCAGCCGTGCTTGTGCAGGTGGAGGGACCGAGAGCAGGGCCCCTCCAGACGATCTTAGTGGTCTTGATGGTTCGTAGGGGAGAATACGTTCGGAGAGGTAAACAGGGCCGGAGTCGTTTAGGGCTTTATAGGTTAACACCAGCACTTTGAATTGTGCTCGGAAGCTAATCGGCAGCCAGTGGAGTTCGAGTAACAGCGGAGTGGTGTGCTCCCTGTACCCAGCACCCGTTAGTAGTCTGGCTGCCGCACATTGTACTTGCTGCAGCTTCCGGGCAGTCTTCAGAGGCAACCCCACGTAGAGAGCGTTGCAGTAATCTAAGCGGGATGTAACCAAAGCGTGTACTACTGTGGCCAAGTCAGCCTTCCCAAGGTACGGACGCAGCTGGCGCACAAGTTTTAATTGTGCGAATGCTCCCCTGACCACCGCTGAGACCTGGGGTTCCAGGCTCAGCGATGAATCCAGGAGAACTCCCAGACTGCGTACCTGTGCTTTCAGGGGGAGTGTGACCCCGTCCAGCACAGGCTGTAACCCCGTACCCTGTTCGGTCTTACGACTGACCAGGAGTACCTCTGTCTAAAGACTACATAAAGAGCTAACCTCTTTATGTAGTCTTTTTAGATAGAGAGGTTGGTGATGGAGCCTGGAGTCATTTTGTTTGAAAAGCAGGTGCATACAGCCTCTTCGCAGTGTTGTTGCACTCCAGCCAGAGTTCACCTTTCCCTCAACACCAACTAGGAATCCAAAATCAGTAGTAAAACAGTTCATTAGAAAATGTACTAGGGTTGAATGAAAAGTAATGCCTCCCCCTTCGTAACTCCTCAACAGATGGCAGTCCTGGTATGCAGCAGGTACTGGCTTGTTCAGTAGACTCTCCTCTACAGTTCCACTTTGGCGGGAAGCCTTAGCATTGAACAGTTGTGTTGTTAAAGTGAAAAGTAATGCCTCCCCCTTCGTAACTCCTCAACAGATGGTAGTACTGGTATGCGGCAGGTACTGGCTTGTTCAGTAGACTCTCCTCTACAGTTCCATTTTGGCAGGAAGCCTTTGCATTGAATGGTTGTGTTGTTAAAGTGCAAAGTATGGAACCCTGCGCAGATGGTCAGTGCAACTTAAGCAACATGCAGCCATTGAATTCTTGACAGCAGAAGGTGTCACCCCAAAGGAGATTCATCAGCGAATGCAAACTGTTTATGGGGATTGTGTTGATGTGAGGACTGTGCGTCGTTGGGCGAGTAAGTTCAAAGATGTTGAGGTGGCACCTTCTGCTAACAGAAATTCACGTTGCTTAAGTCGCATTGACCGATTATCTGCGCAGGGTTCCACACACACACACATATATACACACACAAAAGACATATACACAGACTGGGCCACAGCAACGCATGGCAGGGGACAGCTAGTAATCTATATAAATAAAAATGTAATATTCGTTTGTGGGATTAACATAACTCAAAAACCATTGGACGAATTGACACCAAATTCGGATGCAAGACAACGAGTAACCATCACTCATAAAAACACTGGAAAACATGGTGGAAGGGACTCAAAAAGGCAAAAAGACACTACAGCGCATTTTCAAAACCAGATATATACACAAATATATACACACACAAATATGCATATATACATATACAAAATACATATACACAGATTGGGCCACAGCAACGCGTGGCAGGAGACGGTTAGTAATAGAGTAAAACAATAAATAATAAAACCAATAATAAATAGATTAAAATAATAAATTAATAATAATAAATACAGTAAAATAATGAAAGTAATAAAATAATAGTACAGTAAAACAATGTAAATGTAATAACAATAATAATAATAGAATAAAATTATAAATGTAATAAAAACAATACTAATAACAGAGTAAAATAATAAATAACCTGGACTCGTGTATAAGCAGAGGGGAGCTTTTTCAGCCTAAAAAAGGGGGCTCACAAACTTGGCTTATGCTCGAGTATATACAGTAAATAGAGTGTTTTCTTTGTCTTTGCCAGGTTTTGAATGAATACTTCCACAACGTCTGTGAACTTGACCTGGTGTTCAACTTCTACAAGGTGAGTTTTTGCCCTGGATCTTCCCGTCAGGGAGTTAAGGGAAAGGCGTGTTTGTCAAGTCAACTAAAGCATGGAGCACCAAAGAGGGACCTGTCAATCTCAGCCCTGTCACAAGATGGCGCCAGACAGCCATCAAAGGCATTATGTTATGTGTAGAGATTGCTGGAGAGGAGACTTTCCTCTGGGATGGAAATAATATTCAAAAATATCTTGAACAGTCAAGAAACCATAACAAGATGAATCCTGGATGGATAAGAAAATATGTAGTTTGGGGTTTATTGTATGCAAAATTTGTATGTGGCTGTTTTGCAAGAAAATAGCATTTTCTCCTCAGTTATTAAAAAAATCCAAATTCAGAGAATGCAAATCAATGAATCCCCCAAACCAGCTTTCTGTTGGTAATGTGTGTTTTGTAATTTGGGAGTTTTAGTTGCTGGGATTTATAGTTCATCGACTCAAAACATGATGGATCTGGACCAAATACTCCAAAGAGCACTGTGGAATCAAACAATGATGGATCTGGACCAAATGTGGCACAAACACTCAGTATGCCCACATGTCAACCCTGGTGAAATTTGGAGAAAATAGACCTTGACATTTTGGAGTTGTAATTGCTGGGATTTATAGTCCACCTACAATCAAAGAGCATTCTGAACCCCACCAATGATGGAATTGAACCAATCTTGGCACACAGAACTCCAATGACCAAAAGAAAATACTGGAAGTGTTTGGTGGGCATTGACCTTGAGTTTGGGAGTTGTAGTTCACCTACATTCAGAGAGCACTGTAGACTCAAACAATGATGGATCTGGACCAAACTTGGCATGAATACAGAATATGCCCAAATGTGAACACTGGAGGAGTTCCGATGACCAACAGAAAATACTGTGTTTTCTGATGGTCTTTGGTGACCCTTCTGACTCCCTCTTGTGACCCCCTCCCAGGGATTCCGACCCCCAGGTTGAGAAATGCTGATTTTGAAGCAGGACGGAAGGGTTTTGGTGCAAGCCATGCTGGCTGTTGTATACAAAGTATTTTTTAGCTCAGCGGAGAAAGGTTATTTCCTGTTTTTCCTTCCAGGTCTACACTGTGGTGGACGAGATGTTCTTAGCCGGTGAGATCCGAGAGACCAGTCAGACCAAAGTCTTGAAGCAGCTCCTCATGTTGCAGTCCTTGGAATGAGAAGCAGGGAAGCCAGAACAGCCATGTTGGAGCTCCCCTTGCCGGACCTTGCAGCCCCTGCCCCTCTGGGCCCATCTTTCTCCAACTGGTTCCTTGAGAGACTTACTCAAAGCAAATTTGGCCACTTTATTCGTAACGGGATGGGGGGAGGCAGTGTGAATTTGTGAGGGGCTGTTTCAATCCATAACCCTATTTTCCCCCACAAACGGAAGATGTCGAGTTTCCCGATCAGGACTACGATGCATTTCTGTGAGAGGGGATTATCCATAGCACCACATATCTCAGTGCTCCCTGTCACATTTCCGCTACCCCCTTCCTCACCCATTCATGTAAACATTGGGCAGGGTCTGCAGTAGAAGAGGGACCATAATTGTGTATGTATGTGTGTATGTTTGTGGCAAGCGGTCGTAACTGCCAGTCAAGTGATGTATCGAAACAAAGCATCTATGGAACATTTAAAAGCCAGAATAAATCTTCTATGTATCTAGAAGGGAGGGTTTTCTTGGTGCTTTACTCCTATGGTGATTGGGGCAAGATCATATCACAGAATTGGACATAGAATCCTTCTTATTGTCACAGTTCTTATCACAGTTTACTTTTCCAGGTGTCATTAGCAACTTTTAATTACAGTCCAGCAAACAGGTTTAGTCATTGCAGGCCTTGGTCTTAGAATCCTAGAGTTGGAAAAGACCTCATGGGCCATCCAGTCCAACCCCATTCTGCCAAGAAGCAGGAAAATCGCATTCAAAGCACCCCCGACAGATGGCCACCCAGCCTCTGCCTAAAAGCCTCCCAAGAAGGAACCTCCAGCACACTCCAGGCAGAGAGTTCCACTGCTGAATAGCTCTCACAGTTAGGAAGTTCTTCCTAATGTTCAGGTGGAATCTCCTTTCTTGTAGTTTGAGGCCATCGTTCCATTGCGTCCTAGTCTCTACGGCAGCAGAAAACAAGCCTGCTGCTCCCTACTGCCTATGATTTCCCCTCGCATATGTATACATGGCTCTCATCCTGTCTCCTCTCAGCCTTCTTTCTTCAGGCTAAACATGCCCAGCTCCTTAAGCCGCTCCTGATTGGGCTTGTTCTCCAGACCCTTGATCATTTGAGTCACCCTCCTCTGGACACATTCCAGCTTGTCAATATTTCTCTCCCTCGTTGGCCAAGTAGGATAGTCTTCCAGCATCAGTATTCTGGTGGGTCCGTAGGTGACTGTGGAGCCCTATTCTTGATCTGCATCTTCTCCCGCAGTGAGGACATTGGTTTCCAGGTGGAAGGCGGTCCCGGTTAAGGTTGGCTTGACGCGCCTTCCTCTTGGCACGTTTCTCTCTTTCAGCCTCCATTCGTGCCTCTTCAAATTCTGCAGCACTGCTGGTCACAGCAGACCTCCAACTGGAGCGCTCAAGGGCCAGGACTTCCCAGTTCTCAGTGTCTATGCCAGAGTTTTTAAGGTTGGCTTTGAGCCCATCTTTAAATCTCTTTTCCTGTCCTCCAACATTCTGTTTTCCGTTCTTGACTTCGGAATAGAGCAACTACTTTGGGAGACGGTGGTCGGGCATCCAGACAACGTGGCCGGTCCAGCAGAGTTGATGGCGGAGGACCATCACTTCAATGCTGGTGGTCTTTGCTTTTTCCAGCACGCTCATCTCCCTTCAACTGCAATGCCCACAATTGGACACAGTGTGATTCCAGGTGTGGTCTCACCAAGGTAGAATAGACCATGGGTAGCATGGCTTCCCTGGATCTAGACTTTATTTATTTATTTATTTATTTATTTATTTATTTATTTATTTCTGTTTCTTCTACCCCGCCCTTCTCACCCCGAAGGGGACTCAGGGCAGCTTACAAAAGCAAAGGCACAATTCGATGCCCGCATCACATAACAGTAAAAAACAGAAATAGCATCAATTCACAGTTAGACAACAATTCCTACATTACAACTATAAAAATCAATAAAACCAATACAAACCCAATTCCTCCTCATAAACGGTCAGCGTTCGCTATCTCATAGTTCCACTTTCAATTCCACATTGTCAGTCCTGGTCATACTCGCCTGATTATCTTATCTAGTTGTCAGATTGCCCAAAGGCCTGGTCCCACAACCATGTCTTTACCTTCCTCCTGAAGGAGAGGAGGGATGATGATGCCCTAATTTCCCCGGGGAGTGAGTTCCACAGGTGAGGGGCCACCACTGAGGAAGCCCTGCCCCCGTCCCCACCAGCCTCACTTGTGACAGTGGTGGGGTCAAGAGCAGGGCCTCCCCAGATGATCTCAAACTCCGGGATGGGACGTAGACACTAGACTATTAATGCAGACAAAAATCCCATTGGCTTTTTGAGCTGCTGCATGACATTGTTGGCTCATGTTTAACATGTCAAAGAGGACTCTAAAATATTTCAATCCAGTCATCTCCCATTCTGTATCTTTAAATTTCATTTTTTTCTGCCTAAGGATAGCCATTATTTTGAAATGATTTTGAAGATAACAATAATATAAATTCTTCCTTGTCTGAAAGTTATTTTTGTCCCTTTTTCTTGATAGGTAAGGTAAGGTAAAGGTTTCCCCCTGACATTTAGTCCAGTCGTGTCTGACTCTGGGGGTTGGTGCTCATCTCCATTTCTGAGCCAAAGAGCCGGCATTGTCCATAGACACCTCCAAGTTCATGCGGCTGGCATGACTGCATGGAGTGCCATTACCTTCCTGCTGGAGCAGTACCTATTGATCTACTCACATTTTACCTTCCCGCTGGAGCAGTGCCTATTGATCTACTCACACTTGCATGTTTTTGAACTGCTAGGTTGGCAGAAGCTGGGGCTGACAGCGGGAGTTCACTCCGCTCCCTGGATTCGAACCTGCGACCTTTCAGTCAATAAGTTCAGCAGGGCAGGGCTTTAACCCACCGGAGGCTCCTCTTGATAACCAGTCATTTCGTCCAGACTTCCTTGTTAGGAACAGAAGGTCTTTCCCCCATATTCTCTCTTGGATCACCTGGATAAGAAGACCCCTTGCAGAACATTAGAAGGACACACGCGTGCCCGCACAAGGCTATTGCCAGAACCTACCTCTCACCCTAATAGTTAAATGACCCTTGTGCGCAATGGAGACATCTGCATCATGAGCCTAATGCCAGAAGGGTTGGGTTACACCTCTGAACCTTTGGCCTGCAATCTTAGAGCCTTCCAAGGTCAGCGTGATGCCTCCTATAATTCTCTTCTTATTTTAAAGCAGTATATAAACAGGTGGGTCACAAGCCTTCCAGATTGCCCCTGATGGCTTCTAAAAAGGGATTGTAAATTGCATCCTTGTTTGCCTTTGCAAGATCTCTGCTGTCTCATGAGGATGACCCGAGGTCAGAGACAGTCTCAAATGCAGTTGCCCTGAGTCCTTGCTGGGCCTGAGCCAAGTGTCCCAACCTGGCTCCTGAGGACCAGCGACAAAGTTCAACAAAGTTAAGGCGTCAGCTTTTGTGAGTGACCACGAGAGGGCAGCCTTTAGTGCCCAAATTGCTCCCATCCCACTTCTTTCCGCAAAAACCATAATCTGAGGATGGCCTGGGAAGGAATCCCACTGGAGCACTGCAACAGTTTTGGACAGCAGTGGCTCCCAAAGTGACCCATTTAAGGTGGAATCTGGTGTCAAACAGGGATGTGTTATTGCCCCAACTCTATTCTCCATCTTCATTGCTATGATACTTCACCTTGTTGACGGGAAGCTTCCCACCAGAGTGGAAATTATCTTATTGGACAGATGGCAAGCTGTTTAACCTCAGCAGACTGAAAGCCAAAACCAAGGTTACAACAACATCTGTTATAGAACTCCAGTATGCTGATGACAATGTCGCCTGTGCGCATACAGAAGAAGATCTACAAGCCACTCTAAACACCTTCGCAGAAGCATATGAGAAGCTTGGCCTGTCATTGAACATCGAGAAAACCAAGGTGCTGTTCCAGCAGTCACCAGCCATCCCCTCCCCAATGCCAGAGATACAGCTTAATGGTGTAACATTAGAAAATGTTGACCATTTCCGCTACCTTGGCAGCCACCTCTCCACCAAAGTCAACATCGACACTGAAATACAACACCGCCTGAGCTCTGCGAGTGCAGCATTTTCCCGAATGAAGCAGAGAGTGTTTGAGGACCGGGACATCCGTAGGGATACCAAGGTGCGTGTCTACAAAGCTATTCCCCTCCCAACCCTGCTCTATGCCTGTGAGACGTGGACTGTCTACAGACGTCACATGCAACTCCTGGAACGATTCCATCAGCCCTGCCTCCGGAAAATCCTGCAAATCTCTTGGGAAGACAAGCGGACAAACGTCAGCATGCTGGAAGAAGCAAAGACCACCAGCATTGAAGCGATGGTCCTCTGCCATCAACTCCACTGGGCCGGCCACGTTGTCCGGATGCCTGACCACCGTCTCCCAAAGCAGTTGCTCTACTCTGAACTCAAGAACGGAAAATGGAACATTGGTGGACAGGAAAAGAGATTGAAAGATGGGCCCAAAGCCAACCTTAAAAACTCTGGCATAGACACTGAGAACTGGGAAGCCCTGGCCCTTGAGCGCTCCAGCCGGAGGTCAGCTGTGACCAGCAGTGCTGCAGAATTAGAGGAGGCACGAGTGGAGGGTGAAAGAGAGAAACGTGCCAGGAGGAAGGCGCATCAAGCCAACCCCGACCGACCGCCTTCCACCTGGAAACCAATGCCTTCACTGTGGGAGAAGATGCGCGTCAAGAATAGGGCTCCACAGCCACCTACAAACCCACAAGGAAACGCATAATGGAAGACCATCTTACTCGTCCAACGAGGGATCGCCTAAATGAAAACGAAACGACTGCAACAGGCAAATACCTGGGCCATACTCGGAGCTACCCTGGACCATGCTCTGACCTACAAGAAGCGCTGCCAGAATATCTCCCCGGATTCGAACTGCTGACCTGTTGGGCAGCAATCCTGCTGGCACAAGGGTTTAACCTAGTGTTTCTCAACTAGGGGGTCAGGACCCCTGGAGGGGTCGCAAAGGGGTGTCAGAGGAATCCCCAAAGACAATCAGAAAACTCAGCATTTTCTGTTGATCGTGAGGGTTTTGTGTGGGAAGTTTGGCCCAATTCTATCATTGGTACGGTTCAGAAGGCGTTTTAATTGTAGGTTAACTAGACATCCCAGCAACTACAACTCCCAAAGGTCAAGGTCTATTTTCCCCAAACTCCACCAGTGTTCACATTTGGGCATAATTAGTATTTGTGCCATGTTTGGTCCAGATACATCATTGTTTAAGTTCACAGTGCTCTCTGGATATAGGTGAACTACAACTCCAAACTCAAGGTCAATGCCCACCAAACCCTTCCAGTATTTTCTGTTGGTCATGAGAGTTATGTGTGCCAAATCTGGTTCAATTGCATCATTGGTGGAGTTCAGAATGCTCTTTTAATTTAAATGAACCATAAATCCCAGCAACTACAACTCCCAAATGACAAAATCAATCCCCCCAATCCCCA